TATTTGTGCCAGTGCACCAAAGGCTTATGATCCTTAATTGTAACTATACATACCTTGTGAAGAAAATGTAAATAATCTGGCTATTAATACAGAGAGTGGCATGTCTTAATTCCACAATAGGACAATATCCCACCGTATAACACAATAGGACAATATTAACAATACATCGATGTGTGTAATAAAAGCAATCATTCAGTACCCGCAATCGCTTTATGAGCTGAAAGAAGAGACTGAAAATTGCATAAATCAGTAAGATGCATAGTAGCTAGTCCTCAAACTATTCTGGGAATGGAGAGAGGTCTCAGAAGTAAAATCCAGGCTTGTTCCTATTTCTAGCAGACTGTCAGGCTTTCAGTCACAGCTAACTTGGATCCCATCCTTTCAGTGGGACTGCTTGAATTTTTGGATCTGGGCCTTCCATTCTTAATGGGGGAACCCCGGTTATGTTCCTGGTGCCTTCCTCTTTTTCAGTCATAGTTTGAAACTATGGGGCTCATCTTGTGGAACCTTCTCTCCTGGTGGACAGGAAGTCTGCCTCAGGTCATCACACATCTAGCTTACGGTTGTCTTTTTAAATGATTGTATTGGTGTCCATAATTGTAAAGACACTGGCATCCTGTGACATGTTTATTAAGCTTGAATCGTTGAATCGTTAAGACCAAACAACTCCTGATGTGCTGGCCTAGATACCTCTTCCGCTGGGAACTCTGGGGGTTGTAGTGCAATCAACCCCGAAGCATGGGCTTGGAGAAGGTATTATCTCGCCCAGCCTCGCTTTTTCCAGCAGGAACGATGATCCCTGACTTGCTCTGGCCCTTGCTCTCTACCACAGGCAGGCTGCCTCTTCATCCAATTCCCGGCTGATGCAGCGATGGTTTCGGCTGCCTCTGTCCGCTTTCTCAAAATCCAAACTCTTCCAAATGAGATAGGACTCCCCCCCGCCTTTTTTTTTTTATTGTACCGGTAAGGAATTATACAAGGAGGACGCCAATATTTCCGAGCTGAGTAAGAATCCTTTTGGCGAGAGGTCTAGATTGCAGAACACTACGAGACGCGCATCCCTCTCAGGCCAGTAAGGCACGTTTACCTTATTGTGGTTCGCTGGCTAAATTTCAACGGGAGAAGTGATCGCTGCACTCTAAGCCAAGATTGCAACCCAAAAACTAAGCAATTCCTCTCCTACGGAGGTTACTTTAGCGAATGGCATGATCCCAGGCTCCGAGGAAGTGTACGTGAGTGTTTCTATCCTTAACATCAAACAAGAAATGTTGGCCTTCTCTTCTAGGCTGAAAGTTCTCGAGGCTGCCTCAAACGAAACGGAATTTCTTTTCGTCTGGTTGCTGCGATCGTGCAATCCTCCTCCCTGTGGTCTCTTATTTATTGGGGGGGGGGGGGTTCCAGGATTCGTTGTTTCTGCTTCCTAGTCCTTGCCTCGCCCCCATTTCTCCCCCCTCCCTCCAGCAGAGCTATCCGGCTCCAAGGGGTTCTCCAGAAAGCCTCGGCCGGACCTTCGCTCAGCGCCCTGGGGAGGTGGGAAAAGAAGAAGGAGGCCTTGACAGCGGGAAGCTCTTGGCTGAGCCGGCAGCCGAGGTTGTTGCGTCTTCAGTCTGACAGGTGTGAATGGTGGTTGGTTCCCTGTGCTAAATAGGAAATTCTATTTTTTTTTTAAAAAAAAGGGGGGGGGGCAGAGTAGGTCATCCAGAAACGCCAGACGAGAAGTTGATCATCGACGAGGAAGATCTTCTGATTTATCTACTGCCAGCAAAATCTCTCTCGCCTTTTCGAGGCCGGAGAAATCAACGCGATCGCTTTTGGGTCCTTCAGAAAGATACCCTCGGAGTTAAGAGTGCGGGCAGATCTGCAAGTTAAAGCTGTGGGGGGAACGGGGGGGGAGAGAGAGAAGAAACACGTTTCCCAGAGAGGAGAGAGTAGCGGCCGGTGGGCCTCCAAACCCCCCGGATGGAGGTCGCTTTGGAGCTTGGTGCTCTTTAAACAGCCCGCTCCTCGCATCGGACTGGATTCTGGATCTCGGTTGCAAAACTCCGCTCGATCCCTGGATGGCAGAAAGCTGTTCGAGACTTCGTTATCTGTGCTCCCATCTCTACGGACACCCCCAGATTTGCAGGTTAAGATCGGGAAGCCCTAAATGCGTTTTTCCAGAAGAGGCGGTGTTTTCCCATCAAATAATGGATGGGAACCAAAAGGCGTGTGTTTGGGTTGGACTTCGTATTTTACGGACATTCAGCCACTACAATCTGCAAAGCAACGCGTTTGTGTGTGGGGGCGGCGGGGGGGACACATCTCTCATTTATTAAAACAAAGAATGGCTAGTGGTAAACTCAGGCCCTCGCTAGCATGCAGCTGACCTTCCACTTAAGTTTGAAGACTGCCGTCTCATAGATAAGTTACAGCACAATCATGTACAATATTCACTACGCGCGCGCGCGCACACACACACACAGAGACTCGCTCTTTGCTTCATCTTCAGTTCATTAAAACCGTTGCGTCCATTTCTCTCTCTTTTCTCCCCCCCCCACCAACAAAACAGAGCGAGCCGCCGCTTGGTTTTATATCTGAGGCGTGAAATTAACCCGGAGCTCAGTAGAGAAGATGGAGTGAAAATAATTTGATTGCATTTAAGGCAATTTCAAATTTTATTTTCTTGAATTTTCACATCACTAGTCAGTCGGAATATAAATTTGCTTCAAATGGCCTTGTTTCCCCCTCCGCAATCAGAATAAAGGCAATCACAATAACAATATTGCCTGATCTCCAGCTCTCTCTTTTAAATTAAAACGGCAGGGTGGAAGATTAAGGCTTAATCCTAAATGCATTTTTAGGGAATGTTTACTAGTAATTAAGACCTACTGTACTGGGTTCCTGACCAGAAAATGTGTTTGGGATTGTAGTTATTAGGACGAAATTGGAGAAAGTGGTTTTCACTTCACAGATTTGAATTAAACCCTCACAGATTTAATGTAAACTTTGACATTTCTAGAAAGAAAAAAAGTGTGTGAAACCCCTTTTCCTCCTTACCTCCAAAAATGATTTGAGCTGATCTTCCAGAATCCCAGGCCTCAACGTTCCCCGTTTATCTCTCCTCCTTTGAAGCATTTATCTCTCTGGCTAGCCGGAAGGAAGCCGAGCATCCGTCTGCCCTGACATCTAAGAAAAAAAGGGCATTTTTATGTTATTTTCTTCCGCCGATCAATATGACGAGGGTAACCTTTCCTGAGAGTCACCCCGTTGCTCTACACGGGACAACTCGGTTAGTGGAGACTAACCGTAAACATTGAGTTTTGATTTAATATGAAATTTAACCGATTCAATATTCGATACAGCCCCGACCACAAACGGATACCGAGAGGGACGTTGGAACACAAGTGATTTCCTCTGTGTGTGTGTGTGTGTGTGTGTGTGTCTGTCTGTCTGTCTCTGGAAACGCTTTCGGCCAAGATGCGCCGCTTTCCAGGTAGCGGAGGGAGGCGCGGATACCTCGCCGCTTATTTCCACGCGGCGCAGATTGGGAGGCGGAACCGCGCGGGTTCTCCGTGGGGACCTGCGTGGAGCCGCATCGGGCCATTGATTCTCAGTGCCCAAGTTGAAGTCTTCGCCACTATTTCTCGCCCTCGTTTCCCTTGCCATGCCGACGGAACAAATTCGACTTCAGTCAGGACGCCGTCGCTATTGTAGACCGTTATAACTACCCTACCCTTGTTTGTGATCGTTTTTCCTCCCGCCCCGGTATGACTTCTGATCTACACGCTCCCTCGCCCGTTGTTAATAGGAGTGAAGCCGATTTCGTTGTTTGTCCCCCCCACCCCCCAAGGATTGAGCCGAATATAATAAAAGCGCCCGGTTTCCACGATTCCCTTCTCATCTTCCAGCTGAACTGTTCGGGTGGCCATCTTGAAGGTTAACACACACACACACACCATCTCCCGCCCCCACGGACCGTTTTGATTTTCGGGGCTCGGCTCCATCTCTCCCACGCTTTGGGAGTCCACCGGGCCAGGCACCCCCAGGCCGGGCCAAGGAAGAGCTGAGGAATTGGGAAGGGAAAAGGAGGAACTTCCCCCCTGAGGCTTCTTCCTCTGGGGAAATGCGGTGTTTTGCGTGGTGTTCTCACAATCCCCGGAGGAAGGCTCTCCTGGCGCCCTCCTTCGGGCCACGCGGGTATCCCCGGGACTGGGAGCTCGGCGCTTCGTGGGAAGCGCAAAATCCGCCGAGCCAAGGCGCAGCGCAGCTCTCCGGGCGTCCAACCTCAAGCAGGGGGCCTTGCCGTCCTCCGCTGTGGGGGCTCTTTGGCGACGCGGCGTTTTTCCTTCGGGGGTTTCACTTTATCTCGGATGCCCTCCCCCCCAGCCGCCCCCTTTCCCCTCCTTCTCTGCCTCCCTCTTTCCCTTCTCTGGCATTCCTGGGTTCCCCACCGCTCTCCTTCCTCCGCTCCCTCTCCCCCCCTCCCGCCTCGCCTTTTCCTTTCCCCGCTCTTCTTCCTCTCCCCGGCTTTTGCTCCTTCTCTCTCTTTCCCAGTTTCTCTCTCCTCCTTTTCCACCTCTCCACTCTCCCTCCCCCACCCCACCCGCCGCGCCCCTCCTTCACCGCTCTCCTCTTCCCTCTCTTTCTCCCCCC